ACCGAAAACGCAACAAACAGCGAGTTTACTCGGCAAACTATAGAGCCAAAAAACACACACAAAAGAAACAACGGCCCCACTATCAGCTCGGCCCTCTAACTGTGGATGATGCGGACGTCGAAGGGGTTCGCGGAAGCACTGCTTCATCAGTCAAGTACCGTAAATCCTCTATTCCTGACGCTGGAAACGGCGTATTTGCTATAAGGGATCTGGAACCTGGAGACATTGTGACATGGTACGCTGGTAAAGTCACGAAGGCCGAGCCATGTGATAAAACCTACATCATATCAGCTCCAGGAGGCTACCTAGATGGCCTACGTAAACTTGTTGAAGGAAGGACTGGGTAGTTTCGTGAATCGAGAAACACGAGAGCTGCCCAAAAAACGAAAGAACTGTGAGCTAGTGAGTTTCTGGAACGGAAAACGAATGATTTACGTGGAGGTAACCAAACAAATTAAGTCTGGAACCGAACTACTAACGACATACAGTCATGGGTATCGATTTAATTAGATTCGTAGCTGTTGACCAACTTGCTACATAATCTAAAAGTAAACGTATGCTTCGTCTTGGTTGGTGTCGTGTTGATCTTCATCATCTTCGACGTTAACAAGGGCATCTTCGAAGTGCGTGTACTCATCCAGCTCTTCTTCATCCACGTTTTTAGCGTTGAAGAAGATGTGAACAAGCTTTTCCATTCGATCGGGTGCCAGGCGGTTACGGAGCTTGGAATGGATGAATCCACGAGTGAAAAGTTCTGTTCAGCTGCAGACGTGGATCCGGCGCACCTAAACAATTGTTTCGCTATCTCTTGGAGTAGATCAAACTTCTTCAAACTACACCAGAAGTCGTGGATCGGAAGCTTGCGTCGACGAAAGCTTCCACTGCTGCGACGAGCTGTCTTTCAACTCAGCAACATACCGGCGGAACAATGCTTGGTGAATGAGAACATCGTCCGCGCTGGCTTCCCCGAACCATAGCGACAAAAATGTCTCTACCGATGACTCAGTAGATACATACATGCCGTCCCCACAAAATCGTGGGTCTAGGAGGTACGCAAGACCACGGGCATCAATCACCATAAACGAAATCAAATCACTCGGTAACAATGGCCTCCACGGTCTTGAGTTCGCGTTGGGTCAGCTGACTGGCTGAGAAATCATGAAGGAGATCTAAAAAGGTTTTGTAAACCTCAGAGATTGGTGTGCTGTCTTTCTCAAACTTGGTCAGACGCTTGTCAATAGCCCGAAGAAGCAGCACCCCTCTCTTCAACTGGGGAACTAAAGTTGAGCCTGTCACGAGAGTGTAGGCAAACTTCCTTTTGGCTCGCTGAGACTTTGATTTTGCGTTGAAAAAGTCTCGGGCAGATACCATGGCAAACAAAATCGACTCAGATGCAAGAATCGTGTCCAAACAGGCAAGCAACGAGCCACATCTTGTGTCTCCAGGAAGGACGAGTGAACGAAGGTTCTTCGATTTCTGCCCGCGGCGCAACTGGAACCAGAGGTTGTGGTTCCGTTTGAAGAACTTAACCAGTTCCTTGCAGTTGGACTGTAGTTCACAATGCCAAGGAAGACGACCCAAAAGGTCTTTCACGAGGAGATGTAGGGCGTGACAGACGCATCCATGAAAGAACAATTTGGGAAATTCCTCCTATAGTTCCTCCCACATTGCCTTGTTCGCTGTCGTACTGTCGGTGATGACGCCTCCGAACTTTATGCCCCTGTACTTAAGCAACACACGTTTGACATCGGCAGCCAGAAATGGTGTATTGTGACTCTGCTCGCCAGTGTAGTTGGACTCAAGGAAGAAAAAGAGGTTTTCGGAAACAGCCATGTAGTTGATGACGGACATTCCGTTAATGTCCGTCCATGCGTCAGTTTCCAGGGTAACAACCCTGCCAGCAAGACTAGTCGTTAGCCTGTTGATATATTTGTCGTAAGAAGAATCCAGCAGCTGGTTGGCTAATTTGTGAGCTGACGGCACGCGGATACCTGGATTGAGAACCTGAAGTGCTTCGAGCAGCGCGCGATGATCCGTCATGTAAAACGGCATCCCCGTGGTGAAAACCCACTACGTGAATCGCTCTTGAAAGTCCTTCAG